TGTTTACATCTCCTATACTGAGTACTTTACATTTGTCCACGTTGAATTTCATGTGCCATTTTTCAGACCATTCGAAAAATTTGTTTAGATCTTCCTGTAGTTTTGTGAAGTCCTCGTCAGATTTAATTACACGTCCTATTTTAGTGTCATCAGCAAATTTTCTTATGTTGCTGTCTATGCCGATATCTGTGTCGTGTATGTATATAATAAATAATAGTGGTCCAAGTACTGAGCCTTGGGGAACTCCACTAGTGACGTTGCTCCAATGGGATTTAGTGCCGTTAATGCTCACTCGCTGTTCCCTGTCCTGTAACCACGCCCTAATCCATTTAAAATAGATTCATGGATAATAGAGAGTGGTAGTACCTCTCGACAGGAGCTGCCATGCACAGGCCAACCGGCCTATTGCAGACTCCTTATTTTCTTATGTTCTTAAGGGTTGTCCTTCACACCTGGCTGTACAAAAGAGCCTAATAGAGTTAGACCACACGTGGCTATATAGAGTGTGTGGAATAGAGTGTGTGTGTGTGTGTGACGTGTTACTGGACTGCCCTTCACACGCCCGCACGCACGCACAACCTCCAAGCTACAACACTCATTTTGCATCTTAAGTAAATGAAATGGTTCGCATGCTGTCGTGACCTTGTTCAATATTAATATCGACATGTTGGAATCTTTCAAGACTGATTTGCGTTTATCTTTTGTTTTTTGTGTTTTATTTAAGAGACTATGTTTGTTTTGGGGGTTTTGTTTAGTTCGAGTTGGAATTAGTGTTTAGACGTTGACATTACACAAGGTCATTAAAGGTTCAGGTCACGTGCTGAACCCCATGCGTCTCCCATGCCCTGTACCCGTCCCCACAAACATACCCACATGCACGTGCCCAGGTACGAGAGGCAGGTAAAACTATTCATCAACCATTCTCCTATCTAGTTTAGAATCTTACCTGCCTTAAACCGGATCACCTGAACAATCTCAACTCCAGCTTATTTCACCTAATGATTAACCACCTTAATGCTAACTTAACCTAACCAAACAAAACCAAACCAAACTTAACCTAATTTGGTATACCAAGCCTGGTAGTTCAGGGTGTATACAGTGCACACAAGCCAATTATCGTTTAGTATTCACCCTTGTTTATTTTAACTGTATTTATGACCATTAAGATCAGGGGTATCAGGCCAGTGCACTCCATTACCCTCACGTCACGACACACACACACACACACACACACACACCACGTAGTGAATGAGTTGCTTCAGCATCATGTGAAGTTCTTCATAACACGATCTGTGTGGGAATTACTACACCACATCAGGCCCCACATAACACCATCTGTGAGGGAATTACTACATCATCAGGCCCCTCATACACCATCTGTGAGGGAATTACTACACCACGTCAAGCCCCTCCCAACACCATCTGTGAGGGAACTAGTACTCCACGTGATGCCCCTCATAACGCCATCTGTGAGGGAATTACTACACCACGTCAAGCCCCTCATAACACCATCTGTGAGGGAACTAGTACTCCACGTGATGCCCCCTCAACGCCATCTGTGAGAGAATTACTACACCACGTCAAGCCCCTCACAACACCATCTGTAGGGAACTAGTACTCCACGTGATGCCCTCATAACGCCATCTGTGAAATTACTACCACGTCAAGCCCCTCATAACGCCATCTGTGAGGAATTACTACACCACGTCAAGCCCCTCACAACACCATCTGTGAGGAACTAGTACTCCACGTGATGCTCCTCATAACGCCATCTGTGGGGAGTTACTACACTACGTGTCTGCTGTTCAACACCTCAGCTTACATGATCTACGTGTAAACATTAATCTGTATGTTCACTGTGATCCATTAACGACTAGCTGGTGGGTGAATACACTAGTTGGGGGGTGAAGGGGGGGTAGAGGGGAGGGAAGAATGGGTGAGAGAGAGATGAAGGAAGGGAGATACGTAGGTGGGAGGAGGTAGGAAGGAGGAAGGAGGTAGTGAGGTAAATAAATAAAGAGAGAAAGACGTACCAACAGTCGTGGCTGCCCTCCACAATCTGGGACGGAGCAGGCGTCACCAGTAATCTGTTTGGCTTCAAGACGGTTGTGATTCGATAAATATATCATTTTGTATCCTGTGGCTTATTAACGTGTGCGTGTGTGTGTGTGTGTGTGTGTGTGTGTGTGTGTGTGTGTGTGTGTGTGTGTGTGTGTGTGTGTGTGTGTGTGTGTGTGTGCCTGTGCGTGTGTGTGTGTGTGTGTGTGTGTTTGTGTGTATAATAATAATAATAATTAACGGTTTATTGAAAGAGCTTGGCACCAGAAGGCTGAAAATATACAGTTACATATTTGGGAATGGGTTACAATTACAAATAATATACAGTGACATAAGTGACACAAATAAGACATATAGTAACTTAGATGGGGATCAGCAGTGTGTGTGTGTGTGTGTGTGTGTGTGTGTGTGTGTGTGTGTGTGTGTGTGTGTTGTGTGTGTGTGTGTGTGTGTGTGTGTGTGTGTGCCTGTGCGTGTGTGTGTGTGTGTGTGTGTGTGTGTGTGTGTGTGTTGTGTGTGTGTGTGTGTGTGTGTGTGCCTGTGCGTGTGTGTGTGTGTGTGTGTGTGTGTGTGTACTTCAGTCGTGTTGCTGTGGAGTTTTTATTATGTTTGATTTTTGGATGAGGAAAACACATCCTCATGCAATATAGAGCTAACTTATAAAGTTGGTAACTTATAGAGCTGGTAACTTATAAAGCTGGTAACTTATAGAGCTGGTAACTTATAGAGCTGGTAACTTATAGAGCTGGTAACTTATAGAGCTGGTAACTTATAGAGCTGGTAACTATAAACTATTATAGAGCTGGTAACTTATAGAGCTGGTAACTTATAAAGCTGGTAACTTAGAGCTGGTAACTTATAGAGCTGGTAACTTATAAAGCTGGTAACTTATAAAGCTGGTAACTTATAGAGCTGAACTTATGAGCTGGTAACTTATAGAGCTGGTAACTTATAGAGCTGGTAACTTATAGAGCTGGTAACTTATAGAGCTGGAACTTATAGAGCTGGTAACTTATAAAGCTGGTAACTTATAGAGCTGGTAACTTATAGAGCTGGTAACTTATAGAGCTGGTAACTTATAGAGATGGTAACTTATAAAGCTGGTAACTTATAGAGCTGGTAACTTATAGAGATGGTAACTTATAAAGCTGGTAACTTATAGAGCTGGTAACTTATAGAGATGGTAACTTATAAAGCTGGTAACTTATAGAGCTGGTAACTTATAGAGATGGTAACTTATAGAGCTGGTAATATTATTCAGACGCCGTGTGCCTTTATCACGAAAGCTGGAGGACCGTGAGAACTTCCGGGTGTGTTGGAGTCACTGCTGGTGTTCCGGCCGGAAGTTGTAACACACATACAACTCACATACAACTCACATACATGCTTAAATACATACATACAAACACACCCCTACACAAGATCAAAACTAAATCAAACTTAACCCAACTTAACCCAAGGAGCAAACTCGTAACAATGGTTTTAAATTAGACAAATTTAGATTTAGGCGCGAAATAGGTAAACACTGGTTTGGAAATAGAGTAGTGGATGAATGGAACAAGTTATTATTATTATTATTATTATTTTTAATATTATTACACACACACACACACACACACTCTCTCTCTCTCTCTCTCTCTCTCTCTCTCTCTCTCTCTCTCTCTCTCTCTCTCTCTCTCTCTCAATTACTACTTTATTACATTATAACTTTCAGTATAAAAGTATATACATCGAGTCAAAGGTTACAGGGTGTCTATAAATGATTACCCTGATTAAAGCATAAGAGCATACTGTTTTAAGGGTAATCGTTTATGGACACCCTGTATAATACTCCCCGTCCCACTAGCCCCAGTACACGCCTCGAGCTGTCATGTTTTAACCAATGTGAACGTATTTTAGTTTCTGTTCTTGGTCAACAATTATCGGGTTTATTTACACAGCTGAGTTTGCTTTTATGTGCGTGCCTCAATGTGTGTGTTGTTGTTTTTCTTTACCTTTTCTTCTGTTCATTTTACTTTTCTCTCCTTGTTTGTACGTGTAGTTGAGGTTGAATTATATGTTTGTTTGTTTGTTATATTTGCTTTGATCACCAACAAGTTATATATATGTATGTATTAAATTGGTAAGCCTGCTCGAATGACGTCACATATAGTGGTTCTTGTTTTCTAAGTCAGGTTTTCTTCTTTTATTCAAAGACTAACTCACTTATTTCGTCAATGGTTCGTTGTGTGTGATTGATTAACCCATTGTGTACAGGGTCCCTTCTGACCTGAATAAAATCGTCATCCGTTAATCAAATATAATACTAAAAGTGAAGGGGTTAACTATACTATACATACTAAACTAATTTAAACCTAATTAATTGATCCTAACTAATATAGCTTATCCATACTTACCTTACATGGTATTAAGCCGTAAATAAACCAAATTGCTAAAATATTATCACGTGAAATTCCCCCTTTGGGATTTAGCTATTTATGATATGAGTTACCAAGCTGTGAGACGTCCGGGTCATGAAAAGGGGAGGGGTGCCAGGTAGAGGGGAGGGGTGCCAGGTAGAGGGGAGGGGTGCTAGGTAGAGGGGATGGGGTGTACCAGGTAGAGGGGAGGGGGTGTACCAGGCTTCTATATTAAAGAACTAATACATACTGTACGTGGTGAGTCACGTACAGTATGTATTAGTTCTTTAATATAGAAGCCTGGTATACCCCCTCCCCTCTACCTGGCAGCCCCTCCCCTCTACCTGGTACACCCCATCCCCTCTACCTGGTACCCCACTCGCTGCCTGGCACCTGTAAACCACTGTACCCTCGGGCCTAGGTAGTCACAGGGCTATAAAGTCAACCTCACACACACACACACGTACACACACACACACACAGATAACCACTGATAGGAATTGCTTACAATTGTTAAGTTATCTTTCGATGCTATTATCTTAGTTGTTCTTCCACTGTGCTCGTGACCACACACACACTCTCTCTCTCTCTCTGTTTCTCTGTTTCTCTGTCTCTCTCTGTTTCTCTCTCTCTCTCTCTGAATCTCACAGCTCTACATAGCTCTCTTTACCTGACAGCTAACTCTACATACACCTTTATTACCGGTGTGACTCGAGCTAATTGACTGAGATGTCTTCCACGTCCAGCGGTGTTCCCGTGAGTATACTGCACCTGTGTGTGTCAGATGTTCACTAGAGGTCCGCTGTGTCCACTTCATCCCATGTCCAATGTATATCTACTACTGTATTTCCATTTGATGTACACGTCATACACCACATGTCCCATTTACTACATAGCCAACACACATCACCACATATCCAAACTTCGCTAAATAATATGTAACTCACGTGTCCCAATGTCCCTTCAGATATTTAAATGGACACCTGAGAATAAATAAAAATAATGTGGGCATATTTATTTCTTATGATTTTGGTAAACTGTGTCTGCACATGTGTTTGTCGTTAGTGATTGTTAACATTAGAGTGATTGTGCAGTATGATATAAAACAGACTGTATCTCTGTGTGGCCAATAATTAATGAGACAAAACTCACCAGAAGAGGATTACATATAGACAGAATATTTATAGTAGAAGGAATGTAAAGATAGAAAGGTGAGGTGGCGTGGGAGGTTAGTTATTTACACTGTCAATACACTTATCTTATCTCATATGTCAATACACATATATTACGTATCACGTAGTACGTTCTTAAGGGACATATTGTTAAACACCACTTCGATACAACTATTTAATAATTCACTCAGTGACATGGACACATTAATATCATTATTATATCGGGGTACTAACACATTATGTTACGTTACTCGACACTGACTCTCGGACACAACGTGAATGAATACACTTCCTACAGTAGGTAACTCACCCTAGGAATCGTTCTGACAAACACTCACGTGTACCCTGACGTAGGCCCAGTGGGTGCTGGCTGGGCTCTGCCTCCTATGGGAGACTCTGCTTAGCTGGTGATGCCGTGGTCTGGCCGGGAAGTCCCCCTCCCGACCTGCGGAGGGGACGAGCGTGACTCTGTGCGAGTGAACAGAATGACGACCTGGGCGGGAGAGAGATGACAGTAACCAGACTGACAGAATGACAATCACCCGAATAACCTGAATGAGCAGGACTGTAGGGCCTTTATATGGGGGAGGAACCGCCGGCGTTTGACCTTCGCCAATTAACACTAAACTGGTTAGATCTGGACAGCTGTGTCCAGGTGTGGTCATGCCCAAGTGTGTCTTGGTTAGGTGAGGTTGTAGGTCAAGTCCCCGGCTAATTCAAGTAATTGGCGGACAAGGTCAGGTCCCTTGGGTCCTGGGGTGTGTCAACCTGGCATGTAGGGTACCACGAGGTCTGCAGTGTACTCGCTGTTATATGTGTTGCAATTCTCTGGGCTGTAAGCTATGGTCTGATATTCAATCATTACAATATTTAACCCTATGGGGATGATAATTTTAGCCCTTTGAGGATGACAATTCTAACCTTTTGAGGATGATGATTTTAACCCTTTGAAGATGATAATATTTACCCTTTGAGGATGATATTTTAACCCTTTGAGGATGACAATTTAACCATTTGAAGTTGATGATTTAGCCCTTTAAGGATGACGATTTAACCCTTTGAAAATGATAATTTTTACCCTTTGAGGATGATAATATAACCCTATCCCGAACGTCACCACAGCAATTTGGCAATATGAGGACCTCCTCTACATCACACTGCTAAGTTAGTTTTCTGGATTTCCTGCACAAAATCTTGCAAAAACGTAAGACATCACTGGCCGTTGCCCTTGTTGACTTCAGGAAGGCTTTTGACTTTGTTGATCACTGCACTGTTATTAACAAGGCCATTGCACTAGGGCTGCCCACCAACCTGGTCTCATGGCTCACTGATTTCTTGAGTGGACGTCATCAGGCAGTGAGGTATCAGGGTTCTGCCTCCACATTCCAACACCTCACCTGCGGTGTTTTCCAGGGGACCAAGATGGGACCACTGTGCTTCCTCATCCTGATCAACGACGCTGTATTGGACACTCCTCACAGGTGGAAGTACGCCGATGACTGCGCTGTGGGGGTTACAGTGGACAACACCGCACCAGTCTACTCATCGCTACAAGGCACCCTGAACAGGCTACAGGCATGGATTACGGAGAACACGGTCACCACCTACCACACCAAAACCATAGTCATGCACATCAATACCGCCACCACTCCAGTGCAAGCTCCAACAGTCACAGTGGGTGCCCATCCTCTCCAGTTAGTGCAGTCTGCCAAACTCCTGGGTGTTACCATAGACCACAAACTGGACTGGAAGGCTCATGTAAACAACACAATCAAGGCAGCCTCGTACCGACTCTACATGCTACGACGATTTCGGTCACGTGGGACACCCACGCCAGAGCTGAAGACTATCTACAACGCCTTTATTCTCCCCAAACTAACATATGCGTCACCAGCCTGGTCGTCTTCTCTCAACTCCACCCAACAACGTCGGCTAGAGAAGGTAAAGAAAAGAGCCTGCAGAATCATGCTCGGCGCAGACTACTCGGGCTACATCAACGCTCTCTCCACCCTCTGCACCATCCTCGTCATCGCCACCTCCTGCCACCGGCAATCCCCCACCCACCTCGCACAGTCCGCCACTACAACAAAATTCAGCCCATAAGAGCCCGCACCGATAGATATAAGAATAGCACCATCCCATCTATTGCTAAAATAATAAAAAACTCCTGATTTATGTATTGTACAGCCCTGTAAATGTATTCAACGCATATCATTTTGTCTAAATCAAATGTAAGTTTGTATATTTTCAGCCACCGGCTGCAACTCTATTAATAAACCGTTTATTATTATTATTATTATTTAATTATTATAACACAGACACACACACACACACACACACACACACACAGGCACACACACACACTTCATCCTTGACCACCGAAGGGTTAAGACGTACCTGGCGCTGTTCTGGCAGCAGCCAGGTCAACTGTTATGTTGGCCCATACCAACTCCCCTCCCTGAACCCCTCCTTCCCACAGGAATATCAACAAGTTCTCGCCAGAAGTTACTATTTCATTTAGGAAAGGAATGGAACCAGTGTTGAATAGTGGTGAACAGTGGTGAACGGTGCTTAAGTCAGTGAAAAACAACTCGGCAGTAACAGCTGAATCTTACCCAAGTTAACCTTCACACAGTGAGGTCCCAGGTACCCAGTGATAACTGCCCCTGAGACTCAACAACACCAGCTATGTTTTAATCCGTCCACGATAGGGAGGCCTGGGACCACTCCTCACTTGAGTGAGTGAGGTCCTGTGATACCAGACCACGTGGTGTCCACATGATGCTACGACACCACGTAGTGAATGAGTTACTACAGCATCATGTAAGGTTCCTCATAACACCACCTATGAGGGAACTACTACACCACGTGATGCCCCTCATAACACCATCTGTGAGGGAGTTACTACACTACGTGTCTGCTGTTCAACACCTCAGCGCACAAGATCTACTTGACCTCCACTGTAAACATTAATCTGTATGTTCACTGTATGTTCCTTTACCTTTCTCTAATGAAGGCTTTTGTTAAACCACCAATGTCAATGTATGTAATAAGTCATTTATGTCCAATGTATATTTTCAGCCTTCGGGCAGCAGAACTTTTTCAGAACTTTTTCAATAAACCGTTAATTATTATTATTATTATTACACACACACACACACACACACACACATCGTACAGCAGTCAGCGTTGAACCCAGAGGTAATGTTTTGAATTCCGATATTTGTCGTCAAGGAAAAGCGTGATCATACTTAATTGAAAAAAGTACCTGGCAGGTTTGTCAGTGAGTGTTCCCCAGTGTTAAGTGGTGGCCGGTGTATGAACCAGTATACACCAGTGTTAAGTGGTGGCCAGTGTATGAACCAGTATACAGTGCACCAGTGTTAAGTGGTGGCCAGTGTATGAACTAGTATATACCAGTGTTAAGTGGTGGCCAGTGTATGAACCAGTATACACCAGTGTTAAGTGGTGGCCAGTGTATGAACCAGTATACACCAGTGTTAAGTGGTGGCCAGTGTATGAACCAGTATACACCAGTGTTAAGTGGTGGCCGGTGTATGAACCAGTATACAGTACCCCAGTGTTAAGTGGTGGCCAGTGTATGAACTAATATATACCAGTGTTAAGTGGTGGCCAGTGTATGAACCAGTATACTGTACACCAGTGTTAAGTGGTGGCCAGTGTATGAACCAGTATACTGTACACCAGTGTTAAGTGGTGGCCAGTGTATGAACCAGTATACACCAGTGTTAAGTGGTGGCCAGTGTATGAACCAGTATACAGTGCACCAGTGTTAAGTGGTGGCCAGTGTATGAACTAGTATATACCAGTGTTAAGTGGTGGCCAGTGTATGAACCAGTATACACCAGTGTTAAGTGGTGGCCAGTGTATGAACCAGTATGCACCAGTGTTAAGTGGTGGCCAGTGTATGAACCAGTATACAGTACCCCAGTGTTAGTGGTGGCCAGTGTATGAACTAGTATATACCAGTGTTAAGTGGTGGCCAGTGTATGAACCAGTATACAGTACACCAGTGTTAAGTGGTGGCCAGTGTATGAACCAGTATACTGTACACCAGTGTTAAGTGGTGGCCAGTGTATGAACCAGTATACACCAGTGTTAAGTGGTGGCCAGTGTATGAACCAGTATACACCAGTGTTAAGTGGTGGCCAGTGTATGAACCAGTATACAGTGTACCCCAGTGTTAAGTGGTGGCCAGTGTATGAACCAGTATGCACCAGTGTTATGGTGGCAGTGTATGAACCAGTATACAGTACCCCAGTGTTAAGTGGTGGCCAGTGTATGAACCAGTATACACCAGTGTTAAGTGGTGGCCAGTGTATGAACCAGTATACACCAGTGTTAAGTGGTGGCCAGTGTATGAACCAGTATACAGTACCCCAGTGTTAAGTGGTGGCCAGTGTATGAACCAGTATACACTAGTGTTAAGTGGTGGCCAGTGTATGAACCAGTATACACCAGTGTTAAGTGGTGGCCAGTGTATGAACCAGTATACAGTGCACCAGTGTTAAGTGGTGGCCAGTGTATGAACCAGTATACACCAGTGTTAAGTGGTGGCCAGTGTATGAACCAGTATACACCAGTGTTAAGTGGTGGCCAGTGTATGAACCAGTATACAGTGCACCAGTGTTAAGTGGTGGCCAGTGTATGAACCAGTATACACCAGTGTTAAGTGGTGGCCAGTGTATGAACCGTATACAGTGCACCAGTGTTAAGTGGTGGCCAGTGTATGAACCAGTATACACCAGTGTTAAGTGGTGGCCAGTGTATGAACCAGTATACACCAGTGTTAAGTGGTGGCCAGTGTATGAACCAGTATACAGTGCACCAGTGTTAAGTGGTGGCCGGTGTATGAACTAGTATACACCAGTGTTAAGTGGTTAACAAAGTAGCGTTTGTTAAGAGCTAAGAATGCCAGAATCACCTGAAGATTAACCACCCCCACCCTGCCCTGCCTTACCCTACCATACCCTACCCGACCCTACCCTACCCTACCTTACTCTACCTACCTTACTCTACCCTACCCTACCCTACCTTACTCTACCTACCTTACTCTACCCTACCCTACCCTACCTTACTCTACCTACCTTACTCTACCATACCCTACCCGACCCTACCCTACTACCCTACCCTACTCTACCCTACCACCCCTACCTACCCTACCCTACCCTACCTACCTACTCTACCTACCCTACCCCTACCCTACCCTACCCTACCCTACCCTACCCTACCCTACCCTACCCTACCCTAAATCAATGATAACCTAATGTAACTCCTCCAGGTAGCGTTACGGTGGTTATTTTTATCAGGAGAAATAATAAAGTATCATCAGAATATTAACATAGATATAATATATGAGACATAATATAGCAGTAGACTAAAACAAGCGAGTCTACTGTGTGTTGTTGTTTAATATAGTCTCCCTTTCTTACGTTTTCTTTGTCTGACTTTTTATGCCGTTTTCTATGTTTTTTCAGATAATGTGAACGACATCATGAGGAACTTGCTAGAATGAACAAAGAGAACTTCTGGCTGTAAATATATAACTTTTGGTTGTTATTAAGAGCTTTTGGCTGTTATTAAGAACTTCTAGCTGTTACGACGAGAACTTTGGCTGTGAAGGGTGAGGGGCTGTAGTGAGGGGTGAGGGGGCTGTAGTGAGGGGCGAGACGCTGTAGTGAGGAGATGAGGGGGCTGAGGGGGGTAGGCAGGAAGAGGGGTATACTGTCGGGAGGCTTAATATTAGTTTGTGTGACCCTCCTCCATCTTCGCTACCTCCCCCCCGCCTTTCCTCTCTACTGCTGGCCCCAACCACCACCAACACCACTATCACCACCAACTACAACAACAACAACAACAACAACAGCAAAGTCACTCTCTCCACCAAAAGTCAAGGTAGGTTGTTGCAGTATTGAATTGAATTGAAACATTTCATTTAGCCAGAAAAACACAGATACACAGAGTGGATAATAATAACAATATTAACATGGCTGAGCCAGTTGAGAACCTGAGCTCTCTTTTAGGCACCTCATATATACTATACATTTATCTCAAGGAAGTATTATGTAACATTTAGCATCATCTGGAATAGTACAATAGCATGGTGGTAACAAGAACACCTCATAATGTTACCACTGTTATCACTTCAATATTTATTTATTTTATTTATTTATTATTTTGTTTTAGTTTGTTTATTTACAGTATATATATATATATATATATATATATATATATATATATATATATATATATATATATATATATATATATATACATAAATTGCAGTGGAATTTAATAACATAAGTATAATGGGGGAGCAGTACAACATGGGTTGTACAGTAATGAGGTTGAACAAGAGGACTGCTGTCAGGATTATGTCTAGTTGGCAAATATGTTTATTGCAATAGTAATTACTTACCTATTTACATGTTAATTTCCGATAAAACGGTTTTGATGGTACAATAAAAGCAGGTACTGTAAATTTAGTAGGTGTTACAAGAAATATTAATACTCAGACTATAGATATTTTTTAAGAGATGATTTACAGGAAGGGAGCCTAGTCTTTGTTTGGATGGGTGGGGGTAAGTTGTTCCACACCTTCACACCGTGATATTTTATGGAGGTCTGGGACTGAGAGGAGCTCATTGGGGGTGGTCTTAGTAGCTCTGGGTGCCTTCAGTTGTATCTCTGATTATTCCGGAACTGGAAATAATTATTGTCAAGCAAGTGATTGATAGATTTGTAAACAAAGAGGTCACAGCAGTAGGTGTTAATATCTTCGGATTTTAACATTTTCAATATAGCAAATTTTTCGTTTGTGTGATCTGTTTTTTCAAGTAGGTCATTGTCCGTACAACTCTCTTTTGTGCAGTAACCAGTGATTGTGTTTTTGAAGGGCCCGAGGCCCCCAAAGTGTGTGACAGTGTATCAGGTGTTGATAAATAAGATCATGATAGATTTCTTTCATTGCTGTGAGAGTGAGTGACTGTCGAGTGTGATACATGATACCGCACTGTTTATAGACTTTACTGTGAATGGCTTGTATGTGGTTTCTCTAGTTAAGTTTCTCATCAACAATAACTCCGAGGAATTTAATATTTTGTTCGAGTTTGAGGACTGTATTACCAAGGTACAGGGTGTCCAAGTCTGGGGGTAAGTTTTTCCTTCTGTGAAAGATCGTGTAGTGGGTTTGCTCAAGGTTTAAGGTCAGTTTATTACGTATTACCCAGGTCCTGACTTTAGTCAATTCAGTGTTCATAGTTCTCATCAAGTAATGGGGGTCTGAGTTTCTGGCATAGAGATTACTATCGTCTGCAGATAAGTTGTATTTTATGAGTGTGCTGGCGTGGACTATGTCGTTTATGTACAGCAAAAACAGTACTGGACCGATAATGGAACCTTGGGGAACACCATCCAAGATTGGCGAGGAGTCAGATTGGTGATTATTATAACTAGAAAGAGACCGTCATTCAAGTTGTGATTGGTTGCTGTGTTTAACTTCTCCTGACCTAACTATCCTCAGTCAATCAATCAAAAGTACATTAATAATAATAATAATAATAATAATAATAATAATAATAATAATAATAATAATAATAATAATAATAATAATAATAATAATAATAATAATAATAATAATAATAATAATAATAATAATAATAATAATAATAATAATAATAATAATAATAATAATGAGTCACTTAATTAGGTCAGTCTATAGGTGAGGCTACAGGTGTCGTTTCTTTCAGGTTGAAGATCGGCCGACGAAAGGCAAGCCGCTAAATAAACCTGGCCGGGATATAGTAAGTATTACACACACACACACACACACACACACACACACACACACACGTGTCTCCATGCATCACCATCTTATATCATGAAAAATAATACTAATATTCCCGTCACGTTAACAATATCATAATCTCTATTCTAATAAGACACCACCGCCACACCATGACGTTTGTTGTGTTGACAGATAGAAACTGCCGCGAGTCTTCCTGAGAGTTGGGTCGCTATGCCAGACATCCTTCACAGGTTAGAGGCTCGGCGGCAACACGTGAAGCAGGTAAACTGACTTGACACCTGTGGGCAACATAACCTACACCTGTGCTAGTTTTAATTAAGAAAAAATATGTCATAAGTTAATAGTTACCTGTCATACCTTACACACCTGGACTGTATATCCCGTTTATATACCTCCAACTTATACCTCACACGTCTAATTTACCCTTGAACCTTACCCTTTGAACCTTACCCTTTGAACCTTACCCTTGAACCTTACCCTTTGAACCTTACCCTTTTATCCAGGTATGTCAGAGTGAAGGGTTAGATGTACCTTCAGTGAAGTACCAACCTAACGCCTGGGAGTTCCTCATCAACCACAACTACGCCCTCGTGTGGTGTAACGTGTTCAAGGCTGCTTCGTCGACCTGGATGTGGAACTTCAATTTGCTGGCCGGATACACCCAAGAGCAGCTCCTGAAGGCCAACGAAGCTCCCGTAGCCATGGCGCGACACAAGTACCCGAGGTAAGTAGTAGTAGTGTGTGTGTGTGTTATAATGCACCAGTCAGCGTGAGTTAACATGATGGTATCGAGAATTTATTGTGTTGTTGTTGTTGATGTCATGTTGTGTCTGGCAGGCCGTCAGTGAAGAAGCTACAAAAGGTGTTGAATACGTCTCCTCCACCTCTCTCCTTCATGATCACCAGACACCCTCTCCTTCGTCTAGTCTCAGCCTACAGGTGGGTCCTCTCGCTTCCATTCTTTGTACATGTCATTGATTAATAAACACAACAAAAACCACCTGAACTAGCATGGGAGGAGGAGCATATGTCACTCTTTATCACTGATCTTCAATACAATGGCCACTTCTGGTCTAACGTTCCTCTGTTTTTGTTTGTATACTCCAGAAACAAGATCTTGGCAGGGAACAGAATTTACAAAAAGATTTCTAAAAAGATAATACGAACGTACAATGCGTTGGGTCCACCGGTGCCACAAGAGACTAAGGATGGTAGGGCACCACGACACAAGGTGGCACTCGTCCCATCCTTCCCCCAGTTCGTTCAGTGGGTGCTGGACGAGGAGGCTAGAGGCAGTAACTTAGACATGCACTGGATACCTCAAGCCAGGTTCTGTACGCCGTGTCTCGTGGACTTTTACGTTTTCGCCAAGGTCAGTCATACATACAGCCATTTTACCTAATTCACTCTTACAGAAAATAAAATCAACTATTCCTCACAATACTCAAGTTGTTAAAATTTCTTGTTATTAAAAAGACTAAATTATGATGACTTCTGATTAAAGTTGTTCATACAATAGGAAGTTAACTTGCTCTGTTTTACCATTTATGTCTGACTTTACGTTCACTTTACACTTACAATACATTTAAGTAAGTAGATCTTCTTAGAATTCTGGATTTTATGGTAAGCTTTAGGTGTAAGTATACATGGTTCTCCTAGCTGGGTGTTTTTTTTTTGATAGGATGATCGAACATATACACAAGAGGTGATTGATTATAGCAAGTCACATGTCAAATGGTTTATTCCTTCCTAGGTTAGGTTAGGTTAGGTAAGAATGATAACGAAAGACAATCCCTTTCCTCTTATGACCTAAAAGCATTATTCACAGACAGACAGATTAATTGCTGACAAAATATATCAGATAACGAGATATTGTAACCCTGACTTAGTTATATTACCCCTTGCATGTTATCATAAATTACAGGTAAGAACTCGATTAATTAACGTACCTGTACAAGATATCAAGTTATATATCCTAATCAGGTAAATGAACTGAACATGGGAAAATACTGTGACGTGGACATAGATAACATTGTTGAGATAATTTTCTAACATAATACTCTCTCTCTCTCTCTCTCTCTCTCTCTCTCTCTCTCTCTCTCTCTCTCTCTTGTTTACAGATGGAGACGTTGGACGAGGATGCCAACTACATAATCTTCACCTCCGGTATGAAAATATTGCTACTTGATGTTACTTGTTGTGATTAAATTGTACTTGATGGTACTTGATGCTACTTGATGTTACTTAATGCTACTTGATGCTACTTGATGCTACTTAATGCTACTTAATGCTACATAATGTTATGCTATGCTCCCTGAAGTTACCTTATGCTACCTGTCCTCATTAACCTTAGTAATGATTAAATGAAAACTTCATGTATGTTGTAAAAGTTTGAAGTTCTAAAGCTGTTGTCTTACTTATTAGGGTTCTGAATGAGGGTTCTGAATGAGGGTTCTGGACGAGGGTTCTGGACGAGGGTTCTGGATGAGGGTTCTGAATGAGGGTTCTGAATGAGGGTTCTGGACGAGGGTTCTGGACGAGGGTTCTGGATGAGGGTTCTGGACGAGGGTTCTGGATGAGGGTTCTGGACGAGGGTTCTGGATGAGGGTTCTGAATGAGGGTTCTGGATGAGGGTCTGGATGAGGTTCTGAATGGGGTTCTGAATGAGGGTTCTGGATGAGGGTTCTGGATGAGGGTTCTGGATGAGGGTTCTGGATGAGGGTTCTGATGGGGTTCTGGATGGGGTTCTGAATGAGGGTTCTGGATGAGGGTTCTGGACGAGGGTTCTGGACGAGGGTTCTGGATGAGGGTTCTGAATGAGGGTTCTGGACTGGACGAGGGTTCTGGACGAGGGTTCTGAATGAGGGTTCTGGACGAGGGTTCTGGATGAGGGTTCTGGACGAGGGTTCTGGATGAGGGTTCTGTCAGTTTATTATTGTTCGTCTCACGTTAGTCTTTTGTTTCTCTGGTCTTCCTTCTACAGGTATCAACAAAGTGATCAAACCGAAGGTGATCAACCGCTCAGTGGGTGTATCGACGGAGGAGGCGGCGAGGAAGCTTCTGTGCCAGTTGTCAGCCTCGCAGATGGACGGCCTCCTCCATCTCTACCGCCTAGATTTCCAGCTGTTCGAGTATGAGGCTGAGAGCTACCGTACCTGTGTTGGTCTTAAACCCACTCATTAAAAAGAATGTTTCTTCCACCTCGTAAAAAAAATATTCAAAAGAAATATCGTGAGGGAAATAGAGACAGTTAATACAGGTATATATCTATCTCATAAATCTAAGTGTTTTAAAAAGTATGCTCATCTATATCACTGTTTGGATTTACAGTTCTATATTTTTATACACATTTGTTTGACTTTTCTGTGATATACTTTTTCTTCCGACACAAACATAAATATCATTTCATGTCACTTCAGAGGGAAAAATGTATATTGTGGAAACTCACCGAATCAAACATGTCGAGATTATGAGTATGAGGAAGGGTGTGCAGTGGTGTGGTGTGGTCTGATGCGTGTGTGTGTGCTTCAGTTTTTTTTTGAGTGTTATTGTTTCTCTCACTGCTGTAAGAAAAAGCTACACTGAAGGAAATAATAAATGCAAAAAAAAAAATAAAGTGCTTTGGAAAGTTCTAAGTCTTTTTTATTCACCGCCATAAAACTACCTTAACCACTAAATCAAGATTGAATGTTGACCTCTACAACCAAGTACGAGTAAACTGACCTCACATGGCGAATACCAAGGTCAGGCCACGCGAAGATCTCTGGCCACCTACAGGTGAGGCACCGCCCACATTCAGAAGATATAAAAGTAGACAAGACACAATAGGGTACAGCATCATAAAAGGTATTAAAATACCCATTTTAGATGACCGAAACGATAAAGTATAACTACAAATTTCAGTTCATAACAATGGGTTTATATAAGAGTTTCCCCTGTTTGGGCCAAACGTCAGAAGAAAATGATCTGCGATCAGTGACTGTACTAAACTTATATTACTTGTGACACTGGGCCCCATAACCCAGACAGACAGGCTATATAGTGCAGATATATTACAATATATATTAAGCATTCGGTACATGAGGAGGCAGTGTGACTGGCACTACACTCGATCATCTTTAAATAACCATTCACAAGCAACACTCAGGAGAGGAGGCGAAGGCTGTATAATCCACTGCAGCACCTTTTATTATGGGTAAACTTAAAAAGACGTTGGTTTAAGGTAAAGATAACTTTTGTATAGACTTTATAATTTATTCATCATTGCTCTTTGCTTTATTTTTCTCACGTGCTGGACGGTGTGAGGTGAGACACAGGTGAGAGTATTTTGGTGGTAGTACGGGGCGGCAGGCAGATACAAACGACAGGTAATAGTATAAAGTAAGTTTTGTTGTTGATATTCATTCTGGTGTAAATTCAGACAATAGTATACACAGAAAAAATCATACATACATTACAAAACAGACGTAACAGTTCAGATGAAGAATTAGATAAACAACCAGATGGAGTGAAGAAGAAAACGGTGTTGAAGGAACGGTGTACAAGCGACCACCTGAGTCTAACCAAAACATTGTAGGTGTGACACAGGTGAAGTTATTTATCATTTTAACCACTTTATAAGCTTATTAGTCGTTTGGGTGGTTGGTCTATCCAGTGTTAGTACAGGAGGAGGAGACCGGAGTGCAGTACCTGAAGGAAACCTGTGTTATGTGTCAGGGTCAAGCATGACTCCAATCCTTGATACAGGGATGAGAGATACATGTGTTACCTGTGTATTGTTCTGTGTTGCCTGTACATTGTGTTATCTGTGTAATGATAATCAAAGACGCATTTCCATTTTAATATACGTCACTGGAAACAGCAGATGATAAGGAATAAATAATTAAAGTCATCATAATTGTATCTGATTTCAACAGACATAAACCTCCTAGCACTGCCAGAGTTGAGTGTGTGTTGCTCAGTGGTTAGTTCCTGCTAAGTCATGGTTCAGTGATGGTGTTTGTTAGTTCATTCTGGCATCTCACTCTACTGGCATGACCCTCCTATAATAAATTAATAGCCTATTATATGGTTGCTGGAGACTATTACGTTTCTTTCACACTGTAACAACTGTAGGCCTATAAGGAAATTCATAATTGAAAAGTTGTTTGATAACTTGTAATTTCTCTTTTTTTTTTAATTTCTCATCATTATCAATATTTGTGATTTTCTCGACCTAAAAGAAGAAGTTGCCGTCAGTTGAAAACTAGTCAAAAGTTTATGATATATATGCAAGTGTTGTAAAGTATTCCTACACTTAATCTGATCTATCATAACTTAATCTAACCTTTGAGAAATGTGTACTCTAGTTTTGCAGTTAAAGAAAAGTCTTAATATTATCACTCGAACCAATCACAGCCTGGATGATGTTCACACTCAAACCTAACCTAACCATTTTAATCAAACACAGGAAGGACAACGAGCCAACTACACCACCAAAGAAAGAAGTGGCAACCGATGACCAAGATGGCGATCACCGACACAATATTCGATCTTCTACTCGAGTGGGACCTGTCCAGATTGATGTTTATTGTGTACCTCGTGATAATCAGCCTAAGTGGGACTCTCGTCAACTTCTTCAGGGAGATGGTGCCGCTGCCACACTTCTTTCTACAGGCCTTCAAGTACGGCAAGATGGCTCACAGCACACACGTCAACACCCTCATCTCTCGCCTTGAAGTTCCGAAGAAGTACAGTATACACGGTGATTTATTGTTCAGTTGATATGTATTTTTATGTTATACATGTATTTTCACATCACATAATTATCACGTTGTTCAGATTAAATATATACATGAAGATTAGCCACCTCAGCTTATTTCACCTGATGATATAACATCTTAATGCTACTGGAGATGATTAGATTAGATTGGGTTAGGTTATGGTAGATTAGGTTAGGTTAGGTTAGGTCAGGTTAGGTTAGGTTAGATTAGATTAGATTGGGTTAGGTTATGGTAAGTTATATTATGGTAGGTTGTAATAGGTGAAGTTATGGTAGGTTAATCAACAGTAGGTTAGTTAGGATGGTTAATCTTGAGATGAAATAAGCTGTAGTGTTAATCTTCATATAATCCTTTTTTTTTAATACAGGTCATTGCAGTATTTTTTTTGTTTTATATTTTCAGATGGTTTGTACATTTTTACATTTCTGCCTCTCTGGTAGTGACGGTGGCCTTTATGCAGACGTGGTGTGTGTATGTGTCGAGGAGTCCCTTGTCATCATGGTTCAGTGTTGTTCTTGATGTTCTCACTACACCTCACAGAAGTCCAACAGGTGCACAATCCTAATATTTTCTTTAATCCATAATTCTCTTAGATTTTTAGGCATATTAAAAACTACATTTCAATCTGTGTTGTGTGTAACTTGTATAAGAATTTTTTATAGAGCAGCAATATATATATATATATATATATATATATATATATATATATATATATATATATATATATATCACACACACACACTTTTATGTACCTGTACAGTATTAAATCTCTTGCAGACTTCTCTCATTCTTACACTATGTTAGTCTATCCCACCTTAATAAGTAATTATAGAAATGAATAAAGTACACTATTGGCACTGCTGCTACTATTACTATTGCATCAGTATTGATAATCTAGAATTTATTGTAGATATGATAGTTGAGTGCCTGGCCCTTTGAGCTGTGAGATGTAAAGAAGACAATAATTGTAATAATAGTATTGATCAATAAATAAATATATAATATGATATAATAATAGTGTTTATTGGGCAACAAAAACTACAAACATGATAAGGCTCCAGAAATACTATGATAATATGTGAATAGACATAAATTACTCATGATAAAGAAATTCCCAATATCTAACATGATATTTGAAGCCTGGAGGTGGATGCACAGTATTGAACTGTTCCTTGTACAGTACAATACAGAATACTTGTATATATTAATGTGCCTTTTTTTAAGACCCTAGAGTCTAGACCATCTCTTACTATGTCTGAAGATTTTGTTCTGAAATGTAAATGTAGAAGCACTTTTTTGCAGGAGTGACTATCAAAATATTAAAAATAACTTAACCACTTGTGTATGGGATCCTCTCTCTGTTGAATAAAATCATCTGGAGTAAAATTATTATTAGTTTGAGTTTTGTGTGTTGCAGATGATGATTTATTAAGGACACTGGAATTAGTTACATTATAATATTATTGTGTTGCAGTGAGTGGCACATCAGCAGCCCTGGGACTGTGTTTACTGGCCGCACAGATATACCGCAGACTGTACGAGAATCTGTACATCAACGTGTTCAGCTTTGGTCATATAAATGTGTTTCATTATATCGTTGGTCACACTCACTACCTAGGAGCTGCAGCTCTTCTGTTGTCTCAGGCTCCAGGGTTTGACGGTACTGGTAAGTAATGTGTTTTTCAGTGTACTGTACAAATACAGTACCTGTATTCTGGTATGTCTTGACTTAGGCTGCCAGGTGTGTGTACTCCAGTAATTTACACTTTACGTTGTTCTCCATAAAGGAACTTATGCACCACCCTGTACATTTAAAGGATAATTATCAGCCAAAATAACATTGTGAGGTTAGACTAGACATAAGGATATAAAATTCTAATTTTTATTTATTTTCCATTTTTCAGACTCTCACATCTCATTCTCTGCTCTTGATTTCTGGCACGTTATTGGAACCATCATTTGTATTTATGGATTTACTGTCCAGAATAAAAGTCTCCGCTTGTTGGCTGCTTTAAGGAAACACAAAGGTAAGGTATTGATGAAGGTAACAACACCAGATGATGAACACTTACTGGAATGATATCAATACAAAAAGTCAGTGTTGGTAAGAACACTGTTGTGGTGGAGAGAGTGTTTGTACTCTACTGTGTGTGTTTGCATATGTGTGTGTGTTTGTATATGTGAGCGTGTGCTAGACCAAGTGACTCCAGTGTAAATGTGGTGCAGTTGTGGAATATATTCTGATATTTAAGACTTATTAAAGGCACCGTTAAGTTTTTTTACAGTAGCAAATGTCTCCTGTAAGTTGCATAGAGTCATAGACATTAACTTCACTTGTGCCCACAGACAAAAACATGAAAGAGAAGCACGTAATACCTCAAGGTGGGATGTTCGAGGTGGTATCCTGCCCACACATGTTCGCTGAAGTGGTGGTGTATGTGGGCATCCTCATCGTCTTGCGCACACACATGGGTTGGGGCATCGTCACACTGTGGGTCATGTCTAATCAGGTGAGTTCCTAAGTGTGGTTGTTTGTCCCTCTCAGGTCACTTTCAGGTTACTCCTAGGTCACTCGCAGGTCACTCTCAACACTCTGCCAATACCTGACATTCAGTAAATTTCTGCTGCTGTAGTGTCAGATTCTTCAGCCAACAAGAAGTTATTTGTTTTAGTTTATGAATAATTTAAGAATTTTAACCACTAACTAATTATGTACTGTAGTTTTTATGATTAATATATTTTATGCTCTCTAACTATAGTGAGAAATATGTACAGTACTATAGTAAAACATTAATTTTTTTATTTCTATGTAGGATAATGATATAGTTGATCGCTTTAATATTCATAAAGATAAAACAAAAAGCATTGTAATAAGGCTTTACAAAATAGTAGGTTTTAGCCTAAGAAGAAGATGGGTAGACAGGAGAGTTATACATCACTGGACACTTTACCAAACTACTGAGTTACTTACATCTGATTACAAAACTGTATATTATGCCAGATTGAAGTCTCGGGTACATAAGATGATTATGAGGATAGATATTACAGAATTATGTATTCAAGTCTAAAGCAGGTTTTTAAAGACAAATTTTAAAATGATAAATTTACCCTGTGTTGTCATGCAAGAGGTTAGTACTGTTGAAATGTTGGAGGCATGTCAAGGTTACATTAGTTGGGGAGATACAGTACTCACTTGGTCGAGCATGTTTGAGGAAGTCTTTGTGTTTTTCTCAGGACCTTGTACCATGTGTAATATTCTGAATTATTTATTTAAGATATTATTATGGCTGTATCTCAGAAGTCTATTGTTGCCTAAGATATTGATGGAATATTTTGTTGGTGACAGATCCAGGTAGCAGTCATGAATCACAGGTGGTACCAGAAGACGTTCAAGGATTACCCACGCAGCCGGAGAGCAATATTCCCATTCTTGTTATGAAGATTACTACTGTCTCGAGATGTTGATTGTCGTGCAGACATCATTACTGTCGCTGTCGTTAATTGATGGCATGAGAATGTGCTCTTCCACTTTTGTACTCAGTGTGATGGGGTCGAAGCCTCGTACAAAAAGTTGTTTTATTGTTGATGTTTGTTTATTTGATCATTTGTTTTTATAATAAGTTCAGTCACCCACAAAAGTCTTATCACTTTTCCTTCTTCTCCACGAACACCGAGATCCAGACTCGTGAACCTGAAGCAGTAGACTGATACATTAATTTGTCCTTAAATACTTTGGATTTATAAGTGTGAATCTTGGTGTTTGTGGTTCAGGGGAGAAGCGACAGTACTTTTGAGGGTGACTGTACATCTCTCTATGGCTTTGGTTAGTACAGTACTGTATTGTGTGGCGGTGACATCAGGAGGTACTGCTGAAGTTTGTTGTTTGTGGTAAATTATAAGGCACAGTTTGTCTACGGTGTTCCCCTCTCAGGTGACTGTTTGTAGTAGCGAAGAAAAATATATTACCGTCAATTTATTTTATATTCCAATCTACATACAATTCGATTCCATAATATCTGTTCCTCTTCCTGTAACATAAGAGCTTTATTTTACATTCCATGACATACCGTACAACACAAGCTGGCTGAGTCACCTTACTAGGATTCTCAGTTCATATTTTTTTACACCTTACTGAAATGTGATCAAAATGCCAAGGCTGTGATACTCATCTTCCAGAGGTATGATGTACAGGTACTTGTTGACTCTTAATGCTCAATACTGTTTTATACTTTCAGATATGCAAATAAAAATGCCTGTCTAAAAAAAATATTATTCTCCATTGTTGATAACTTTATTTGCCTAAAATTTACTACAAAATATGCTGATGTAAATTGTATCAGTACAATTTACACTTTTTTTCCTTTTGTATTTAACCTAAGCTTCAGTGGTTCAGATATTTCAATAGGTCCAGCACTGGTCTGGTCCCAAGCGTGCCAGATTAGTGATAAAACAGATAGATAGATTGACTGACATAGGTATTGAGACACAGATCCTGATAGATAAGGATAGATAAATTGATAGATACAGTATAATGATAGGCACATAAAGACACACACAAACATACATAAGCAGTTAGATAGAGATAACTAACAGGAGTTACAACAACTTGTCCACAGTTTGACAGGCACAAAGATTTTCTCTATAGGGTGTGAGAGTTGCCCCTTTAATTTACCTTGCTATGGGTGGTGGTGGTGCCAGTGGTGATGATAATGCTATGGTGGTAGTACAGTGAGGGCGGCAGCTCTTGTTCCTAGCTCTATTTGGTCATTTTGTTGTAACATCTGTAACAAACAAAATATTATATTTACTATAAAGAACGGGAAATAATTGTTCACAATCAAGAGAGTAACTGATTTATAAACAAGTACTGCAGAGCACAGCATTAAGTGTTAGGTTAGGTTTTTTATACTAAAAACAAAAAAATCTAACCGACAACCGGACAAATATCCACAGCCTATATTGTTTGAAGCGGCTATAACTGGAAGTTACAGAGCTGGAATATTAAGTTAGGGTCAATAAGTCATGCCGTACCGTGCCCATTATTACTTTTGAAATCTCATAACACAAACTGACAGTACATGATATACAGTACTTGTAACTATATGAGGTCAAAATACTCACTGCTTTATTAAACTATATAAAATGAGTTCCTGGTATTACAATAAACATATAACTGCATCAGTTATTTTCCCGTCTCTAATATATCATGTGCTATTGGCCTCCCACGTGAGTTTGTTTACAAATATTTGGGGTCTGACGTCACGCGCCACATGGTATTGTTTTTATCCACTTTAAGCTGTGTTTTGGATCTAGTCTCGGATTATTCCTTCATTTATGCTTATTTATACATGTATTGACTTCTCTTTAGTATTTAATATCAGAACACTTGCAGGATTTATTCATATGAGTACTTGTGACATGTTGAAGTGACTTTAAATTTAACATCGTTGGCGGAGGCACGATGCAGATTAATTATAGTTTTATGACGTTATTCCCTCGCACTTTTAAAACTAGTCTTCGGCATATGAAACTCAGGATATATAATTACACATCAAAAATTATTGTATTAATGCGAGGAATGTGAATATAGTTTTCCGGGCGTATTAATATTGCGGTAGGAGAGTGGTGGTTATGCCCGGCACCTTAGAGAATGGCCCGGCCTGGTGGTATGGTAACTTATGTGTGTGTTAAGTTTAGTTAGTGGTGTGTGTGTCTTGTGGTGTGGACAGGTGATTGACGGGTTAATAACGAACCACCAATCACCAAAACTAAGCTGAATTAGTGGCGAAGAAGGACCTAGTTAAATCACCGCTCAAGGTAATCACGTCACACCCACTTCCTCATATTTCGACTGAATTACACACACCACAACACATATATTAACTCAAACCTATACCAATATGTTCTCTATGAAAGGGGTTATAGTCTGGCAGGTGTTATAATGAGTGACAGGTGTTAATTGCAGTAAAAATTAGAAAATAATAAGGTGTGTTGGGAGAGAATGACGACTGCCTCAGGTCTGGAGTATTGGGTTAAGTGAAATCCGTCAGTTCTTGTTTATTGTTGTTTATTGTTGTTTATTGTTGTTTATTGTTGTTTATTTTTGTTTATTGTTGTTTATTGTTGTTTATTAGTGTTTATTGTTGTTTACTGTTTGTTTATTAGTGTTTATTTTCGTATAGTTTTGTCATGGTTCTTGTCCTGGTATGATTGTATTGTTCTAGGTTATTACAACACCCTAAAATTACATCCTTAAATTTTAACTCCCCCAAATTACAGCCCCCATAATTACAACCTAAAATTTACAACCTTAAAAAATTACACCCCCATAATTACAACACCATATAATTATAACTCCCCAAAATTAAACAACCTTAGAAATTTACAACCCCCCAAAAATTTACAACCATAAAATTTACAACCCCTCAATTACAACCCCTAGTCATATTTCATTACCCATGGCTGGTATAAAACATCTCGTTGCCTCCTCATACCACTTAAAGAGGAGATAAAATTAGTTTGTCTGTGTTAGTATTTCCTGAATATTTTTGTGACGGAGTTGAGAGTTGAGGAAAAAAACAACTCGATGTTTGTGAGAGATAGGTTGATAGGTAGGTAGGTAGATAGGTAGGTAGGTAGATAGGTAGCGAGAGAGATAACGAAGGTATATAAGTATTGCTTCGTTATATATTTTTTTTAACTATTGTGATATATTATGAATATATGATAACACCTCGAGATAACCGTGGTTTAGGTGTGATCATAGTTTTAATAATTATCTTGGTGTTATGTTTGGTATGATTGATTTTATTTATATGGTCTATGGCGTGGTGTAGTGGTCAGTATACTCGTTTTGCAAGTAAGAGATCCAAGGTTCTATCCCCGAGTTGAGTGAAATTATTGGGGCAAGTTTGTTTATGCCATTTGCCTCTGTCTACCCAGCAGTAATTGGGAGACTGGGATGTTAATTTGTGGATGGTATTCTAAGGGTAATGCTTGGCCAGTGCAGTTGGTGAGTTGTCCGGTTTACTTGGATTATTGCTTGATATTGGGTCATACAGATCGTTAATTTAGGGTGTGGTTGTTATGTTGGCGACAGCTTCTACTAACTAGACCTTAAACAAACTCACGCCCAAGTGGCCCTAGTGCTGGCCATCCTTGAATATGAGGGGTAGCCATTAATCTGTCTGTCTGTCTGTCTGTCTGTCTGTCCGTCTAACTGCATGTTTGTCTGTCTATACATCTATCAGTCTATCTATCTACATGACAGACTAACAAGGAGCTGTGAGTGTATGTCTGTCATCAGTGGTTGAGAGGGTCTGGGTTATCAAGGATGGTGATAGCGAGTGGCGGGGCCCTTGACGCTATCATCCTACCTGTACTCTCCTTCAGGTCAGCTAATGAGTTTTTCACCTGGGAGTTGTATGTGTTGTGGTGGGGGTTGTGATGTGTGTGGTGGGGGGTGTGGTGGGGGTGGGGAGGTGTTGTGTGGTGGGGGGTTGTGAGGTGTTGTGGGTGTGGTAGGGGGTTGTGGTGGGGGTGAGGTGTTGTGGTGTGGTGGGGGGGTTGGGGAGGTGTTGTGGTGTGGTGGGGTTGTGTGGTGTGGTGTGGTGGGGGTAGGTGTGGTGGGGGTTGTGAGGTGCTGTGGTGTGGTGGGGGTTGTGACGTGTTGTGGTGTGGTGGGGGTTGTGACTTGGTGTGATGTGGTGGGGTTGAGGTGTTGTGGTGTGGTGGGGGTTGTGATGTGTTGTGATGTGGTGGGGGTTGTGACGTGTTGTGGTGTGGTGGGGGTTGTGACGTGGTGTGATGTGGTGGGGTTGTGACGTGGTGTGATGTGGTGGGGTTGTGACGTGGTGTGATGTGGTGGGGGTTGTGACGTGTTGTGGTGTGGTGGAGGTTTGTGACGTATTGTGGTGTGGTGGGGGTTTGTGACGTGTTGTGGTGTGGTGGTATTGTCGGGGTTATGTTGATGTGGTGCTATGTGTGTGGTGTTGTGTGGTGTTGTGGATATTGTTATAGTGATAATATATGAATGGAGCTAAAGACCCACACACACACACGGAGAGAGAGAGAGAGAGAGAGAGACTTAACACAAGAGTAAAGGAGCCCAATGGTGTTAAAATATACCTGGACCTCTATTTGTAAAGGTAGATAACTGTTAATTGTTTACCTGCCCTATACCTGGAGCATGGTGGTGGTATTGTCAATTATCTGTTATTCTCATCATTATTTATTTATTTATTTGTATATTATGTAAGTTGACAATATATTCAGATCCCATTTAAGGACAGGTATTTTGGCCAGGTAATAAGAGATGAGAGGATAATGGTAGAGGTATTAATGGGTAGGGGGGGGGGGTAGATAGGAAGGCCAGGGGGTATGATGGATGGATGATGGAAAGGAAGGTACGGTGGGCCAGGTAGGTTTTAGGGTAGGAGGGCCAAGGGACGGTAGAGATTAGGGTGAAGGGATAATGGTAGAGATATTAATGAGTAAAATTGTGGACAGGGAAAGGTAGAGTTGGTATGGTGGATAATGGGAGAGGTATTAATGGGTAAAACTAATGGTAGGAGGGCCAGGGAAG